CATAGGGTTCTTTGTTTATTTGGATTTTTTTTAACAGCTTTACTTAGCTATAACTTACATACCATAAAAATCACTCATTGTAAGCATTCAGTTTGATTATATTCAGTAAATTTATACAGTTGGGCAGCCATCACCGCACTCAAGTTTTAAACATTTCATCACCCCAGAAGGTTCTCTAGTGCCCATTTGCAATCGTTCCTCCTCCCACGCCTAACCCCAGACAACCACTGATGTGCTTTTTATGTGGCTTTCAGATTTCCCCAATGACTAATCAGGTTGAGCCCTTTTTCATAGGGCTACTAGCCATTTGGATATCCTCTTTTGTGAAGTTTCTGCTCAACTTCTTTGCCGATTTTTAATATTGAGTTTCTTGTCTGTCATATTGCTTTGTAGGAGTTCCTTACATATCCTGCATACCGGTAGTACTTTGTCGGGTAAATATATCGTGATTATAGTTTACCACCCTGTGCTTTTCCTTTTCATTCTCTTCATGGTTTATTTTGATAAAAAGAAGTTCCTAATTTTTAATATAATCTGACTTCTATTTTTAAATATTTTTTCTTTTATGATGAATATCTTTTGTGTCCTGTTAAAAAAATCTTTTTTATTCCAAGATCACAAAGATGCAGTCCTACTTTGCTCTAAAAGCTTTATTGTTTTAACTTTCATGTTTAGATCTGCAATCCAGCTGGTGATGATATTTGTGTGTGGTGTGAGGTAGGGGAACAAAACAATTAAAAAAAAAAATACGGGTAACCAATAGACATAGTATCATTTATTGAAAACAGCAACCTTTCCCCAGTGACTGCGGGGTCACCTTTGTCATAAGTCAGGTGAATATAAGTGGATGGGTCTCTCTCTGACTCTCTGGTTCCATTTGTCAATTTGTCTCTCTTCACCAATGCCATGCAACCCTAATTACTCTACCTTTAACACAGCATCCCGTTCTTGTGTTATGGGTACAGCATTTTGTCTCTCTAAAGACTTTGCCTGGTTGAAGTTTTCTTCCTCTCCCTACTCTCTTGGTTTCCTCCAAGCTCTGTCTTTTCTGTTTGTCTTGGTCTCTGTAGTTGCTGCCACAGCTGTCCTTACACTGGGGTAATCCTTGCCTGCCCTTTCATATTGAGAGGCAAGACTGTAGGAAGCCACTGAAAACCCTGAGTGGATGAATAGGGCTTAGCACTTTGGGGGCTTCCTGGGGGTGCTGGGGTAGGCATGTCATCACTCTTTGTGGGGGTTTTTTCTTTGGCTCATCAGTTTCTCAGCAGTGAACCCTCTGATCTCCCGACTGGGAAAGGAAGGCTCACTGTCAAAGTCTTGGGTGACAAGTGGGGAAGGGCTGGGGGTGTCCCACCTTTCACAGTGTCAACCTTCTCTCAGTTCACCTGTTTTGAGCACAGTGCACCCCCTCACCCAGCTGTGCCTAGAGTACCAAATGCTGGGGTGCCTCTGGCTCACCATCTCCAGAGAGTAAATCTCCGGCTTCTGCCAGGTGCCTGACTGTCACTTGGCTGCAGGGAGTGGGGGACACCGGCTCCTTTTATACACCTTCTACAGTCATTTCAGACCACCCTCACCTCTTAAGCCAGAGCATCCCAGTCCGGAACCTGTCGGGGGCCGCCACACACACTGGATGCCTTTGTCCAGATCTGTGCTCTTTTTGCTGTTTGTTTCCTGACTATTTTCTTTTCTTTTCTTTCTTTCTTGTCACTTACCTGGGCAGGCCATAAGGCTGGCGTTGGGGTCTGCTGCCCAGGTGGGGCTACGAGCTGAGCTTGCCACTGCACAAAGGCAAGGCTGGTGGCTGAGGCTCATGGGGTCCAGGAACACAGGGAGCTCATGGCCGTTGGCACCCGACTGAACCCAGCCTCCCCTGCCCCTGCTGCAGACAGACCCGGTGCGGCTGACCCAGCTGTATGAGCAGGCTCGGTGGGACCTGCTGCTGGAGGAAACCGACTGCACTGAGGAGGAGATGATGGTGTTCGCAGCCCTGCAGGTGTCCGGCGGGCCAGGGGAGCTGGGGGGGCGGTGGGGTTGGCGCAGGCTGAGCCCAGGGCGGGGAGGGTCTTCCAAGGTGGGGCCCCATCTTTGGGAAGCCCCACTTGGGGTGCTGTGGGCTACTGGGCTGCCCACTCAGCCCTCCCTGGCCACATACCCCACCCAGTACCACATCAACAAGCTGTCCCAGAGTGGGGAGGTGGGCGAACCAACTGGCACAGACCCGGGGCTGGATGACCTGGATGCAGCCCTGAACAACCTGGAGGTGAAGCTGGAGGGGTCAGCATCCACGGATGTGCTGGTGAGGAGGGGCTCTGGTCAGGGGTTGGGGTTGGGGTCAGGGTCAAGTGTGGGGACCTGGTCCCCCTCTGACTCCTCTTCTCTGCAGGACAACCTCACCACCATCCCAGAACTCAAGGACCATCTCCGGATCTTCCGGTGAGTCTGGGCCCAGCGTTGGCAGCCCCGCTGGAGGGGCCCAGTGTGGAGAGAGAGCCCAGGAGGGAGGGAGGCAGCCTGTCACAAAACTCCTGCCTCACCCTCAGGCCCCGGAAGCTAACCCTAAAGGGGTACCGCCAGCACTGGGTGGTGTTCAAGGAGACCACCCTGTCCTACTACAAGAGCCAGGATGAGGCCCCGGGGGACCCCATTCAGCAGCTCAACCTCAAGGGTGAGTGAGGGTGGCCTGGCCAGGACAGGGACAAGGGCAGGAGCGGGCTGGGGGCCTACCCAGCGCCCCCCGTGGGCTGGGGAGGGGAAAGCCCTCACCTCAGGCTCCCCCTGGGGGCAGGAGAAGACACCCTGTGTGCCGAGGCATGGTGCTGGGCTGGCATTGGCCCAGGGACCTCTCCGGCAGGGCCTCCCCTTCCCAGCCCTCTACCCACCCCTTCGTCTCCCTCTAGGCTGCGAGGTGGTCCCCGATGTCAATGTTGCAAGCCAGAAGTTCTACATCAAGCTCCTAGTACCCTCCCCTGAGGGTATGAGTGAGATCCACCTGCGGTGCCAGGATGTAAGTCGGGGCCACGCTAAGGCTGGGGCGGGCGGGGGGCCAGGGGGCTGGGGGGCCGGGGGCTGAACCAGAGCCTGTCCCTCACCCCTCAGGAGCAGCAGTACGCCCACTGGATGGCCGGCTGCCGACTGGCATCTAAGGGCCGCACCATGGCAGACAGCAGCTATGCCAGCGAAGTGCAGGCCATTCTGGCCTTCCTCAGCCTGCAGCGGACAGGGGGCGGGGGCTCAGGCAACCACCCCCAGGGCCCTGACGCCTCTGCCGAGGGCATCAACCCCTACGGACTTGTTGCCCCCCGCTTCCAGCGAAAGTTCAAGGCCAAGCAGGTGCCGGAGGAAGCGGGTGGTGGGTAGGACCACAGCGTTTACCTGTCCACCCTTGGCCTCTGGATCACCACAGAGCCTTCCTTCAGAAAGCCACATGCTCACGCATTCCTTCTCCTTCTCCTACCGTGTCCTTGAGACTGGGCACGCGGGTTCCCACCCTCTGGGAGAGGTCACTGCCGGCTTCCACTTCAGGGCCTGGCTCAGCTTCCACCTGCAGAGTGGTGAGGGGGTGCAGGCCATGACCCCACACTGGGCCCCACCCCTGCTCCAGGCTCAGCATCCTGTCTCCCTGGTGGGAACGGGCAGGGGGACTCAGGGGCTTTGAGGGCCCCTCACCTGGTGTGGTCCCGCAGCTCACCCCACGGATCCTGGAAGCCCACCAGAACGTGGCCCAACTTTCGCTATCCGAAGCCCAGCTGCGCTTCATCCAGGCCTGGCAGTCCCTGCCCGACTTCGGCATCTCCTATGTGGTGGTCAGGTACGGGCCCCGCCCCAGCCTGCTCTGCCCTCACCGGCTGCCTGCTGTGGCACCCTGAAGCCCCCCTTCCTGCCATCCTGTGCCCCTGCAGCAAACACCAGAGCAAGGGATCAGGCCAGGAGGGCAGCGGACCCGTCCCGCTGGAGACTGCCGTTCACGGCCGTGACGGGGGCTGCCCTCTGCCCATTCCCAAGCCTGCAAAGATAGAGCCAGGCAACAGTGACGACGCTACCAAAAAAAGTTGTCATTGAAAGGCACGGACACTTTGCCTGAGGCTGCCAAGTGCTATTATAATGATTTTAGCAGTTAACCCTCATTTTCCAGATGAGGAACTTCAGGCCCAGAGACACTAGCTGACACCTGCACAGCTTGCTCGGGGACTCCTACCCCAGGCTCTCTGGGTGGGCTCTGGGGCCATGCAGGGCGGGGCTCTGGCTCACCGTCTCTCCTGCCCTGGGGACTAGGTTCAAGGGCAGCAGGAAGGATGAGATCCTGGGCATCGCCAACAACAGACTGATCCGCATCGACTTGGCCGTGGGCGACATGGTCAAGACCTGGCGCTTCAGCAACATGCGCCAGTGGAATGTCAACTGGGACATCCGGCAGGTGGGCCAAGGGTAAGGGCCGGGGCGGGGGCAGGCTCCGGGGGACCCCGGCCAGACCCAGCCAGGGCAGGACGGGGGCTGCTCTCCTCCCCCTCCCCCACCAGCACCTCCGACTGCCCGCTCTGCAGGTGGCCATCGAGTTTGATGAGCACATCAACGTGGCTTTCAGCTGCGTGTCGGCCAGCTGCCGCATCGTGCACGAGTACATCGGGGGCTACATTTTCCTGTCGACGCGGGAGCGGGCCCGCGGGGAAGAGCTGGACGAGGATCTCTTCCTGCAGCTCACAGGTGGCCATGAGGCCTTCTGAGGCCTGTCTTAGTGCCCTGACTTTGCTCACTACCTGCTGTGGCCACGCCTAAGCCCACACCCTCTCCAGACATGCACCGAGCTGGGCACATTCACCTGCTGTCCCTGGCTTTGTGCAGACCAGGGACCTAACCGGGCCAGACTCTGCCATCCCCCAGGCTAGGGAGGGTGGGTTATGAGCTCGTACAATGCCCGCCCTTCCCTTGTCCGAGTGGCCAGGACCAACACCGCTGACCCAGCTTGAGTTCCTGAGCACACGAGGACCAACGGCTGTAGCTACGGGATGATGATAATTCATGGTTTCAAACTGGAGCTTCTTTTTTGTTATCTTTTCACATTTTTTTTAAATAAATATTTTATTGTTGGATCATCCTTCCTCTGGGGCTGTGCTTGGGGTCACTCTGACACTCCGTCTCCTCTTCATTACCAGCCAAGGAGAGGGACTTTCCTGAGATAGAGACAAGAGGTTAGGGAAAGGGAGACAGAAGTCAGCCTGGGGCTAGGAGCTGGGAGGGAGGAGAGGGCAGAGGGCACAGGCTCCAGGCACCACGAACAGGAGGAGGGTGGTGGTTCTTACGGGTAGGGCGGAGCTGCAGAGCCTCCTTGAAGTACTTGGGAAGCAGGAAGCCATCAGCATTCCCTGGAGTCAGGATCACTCCATTGGCAGAGCGGAAGAAGGGGATTCCATCTGCAGACAAAGCCAGATTTGGGACTCCTGCCCTCTCTGAAGCCCTAGGGCAGTCCCCGCTGTGTCCAGGCCTACCTGCCAGGGCCCGGGGCCCATCAATGAACACAGCCACTTCGCAATTTGGCCGCATGCCTGTGGAGACAACTGGAGCTGGGGCCTGGGGCACTTGGGAGCCGGTCATCAAACCTGGGCAGGCTCAGTGGGAGGTCCTGGGCTCAGGGGCGGGGATGGGGTTACTATAGCATGCAGAGCATGGAGTGGCCTTGGACAAGAGAAGCTATGATCCTTGGAGAGGGACCTGGTAAGGACAGCTGGGGAGGGCCACTGACCACTGACGACACCAGGGTCTCCAGGCAGTCCTGGGGCCAGGTGGATATGGGTCCTTCCCCGGCAGGACAGGCCCTTGAGCAGGATGGATGGCCAGTGCTGCCAGAATGTGCCATGGACAAGCCTCAGGGGAAAGGCCTGTGGGGTCTCCAGGGGCATCAGCTCCAACTCAGGTACCTGGGATGGTGGGGCGGGTGCGGAATGGACAGCAGTGAGACCCCCTCGTGGGCAGGGGTCCCACCTGGCTCTCCCACTGGTCCCCTTAGCACCCACCTGCAGGGAGTGACCCTGATTGGCCCGGATAAGAAGGCCAGTGCCAGGCTCCCCTGGCTGCAGGGCAAACCGCTGCTTCCCGTTGGTGTCCACCACGCGCTGCACGTCTTCAGCCGAGAAGCTGTGGAACTGGGGCAGCCGCAGCAGGGCACCGAGGGGCACGAAGCCATCTGCGGGCAGGCAGGATGCTCAGGAGCTGAACTGGTTCTGGCCTGGGCCACAGTTAACAGCGGGAGCCACAGGCAACCAGAACAGAGCCTGGGCGCGTGGCAGGGGTCACAGGGGTTTATCTGTAAGAGTCTCCCCTTTCTGGGCCTCCGTTTCCTCAACTTACATGGGACTAGGATCTGCCTCGGGGAGGGTCACAAAGATAAAGTGTCCCTTTTTTAGCATAGTACCCTGCCCAGAATGGATATTCAGTAAACACCAGTTACCTCAACAGCCCCCAGTACCCACTACGGGTAAGTGTCTGTTGGGCCACTGCACTGGGGGTATGGCCAGGCCTGGCCTCCCAGTTTGCTCTAGACAGGATACTGGGCTCTGGGCCTCAGTGCTCCCTGCACATGGAGGAGATGGGCCCTCTGGGCCGGCCCCATGGGGCCATGGGGTAGGGCAGCACAGACAAGCTCACACTGCTCCCTCGCCGCCAACCACTCACTTCAGTCTTCAAGATTCTCACTTACCAGCCCTCATGGGAAGCCCCAGCTTCAGGGCCCCGTGCCGCAGGGCATAGGACAGAGCCTTGGACAGCTGCACATCTCGGTCCTGTTAAGAGCCCAGAGGTGGCCCCGGGTCCACTCCCATCCCACCAGCATATTCCAGGGAGCCAGGGCATCAAGTCGTCCTCCTCTACCCTCCCACCAAGAAAGTGGGCGTGAGGGTGGGGTGGGCGCACCTGTTCCCGGGGTCTGTGAGCCCTTCTACCCCTGGGTCCTGTGGTTTCCTGCCTCCTTCCTCCAGGGGAGTTCATGGCTAAGACCTGCGAGGAACAGTGATATGTAGGGACGGTTAAGGACCCTCTCATGCCCCGGTCCTGCCCAGCATGTCACAAAGCCTCAGGATGTGAGAGCTGGGAGGCGGATATTCTGCTCATTAAATTCACTTCCCGCCCCCAACTCCCTGGTACAGATAGGGAAACTGAGGCCAGCAAGCAAGATTTGCCCAAGGTCACACCGTGTCCGCCGAGCCCCAGCGCTCCGGCCTCGCGGGGCTGCCCCGCAAAGTGGGCCTCAGGAGGCGGCCCGGGCGCTCAGGCTAATGGGGCGGAAGCGTCAGGACCGGCCAAGACAGACAGAGTTAGGAGGCGGGAAACTGGGACGGCGGGCTCACCGACTCGGCTGCCTCTCCGGCGACCCCGCGAGCCGAGGCGCAGGGACCGGCCAATGAGAAGCCGGGGAAGGGGAAGGGCACTTCCGCTTCGGGAAAAGGGGCGGAGCCTGCGGGCGGCGTAGTCGGGTGAGAGCGCCAGCTGGAGGCTTGAGCTTCCGGATCCTGCAAGGGGTCCCGGCGCCCCAGGGGTGGGTGGCAGGACCCTGGTTTGGGAGACATCGGCATAAAGGGGGTGACTGGACTCAGGACCCCTGGGTGGTAGAGATGCGCGGGAGTCCCAGGGATGTCTGGCAGCCGGACTCTCGGGGCTCTTGCTGGGCTAAGACACTCTATTGCCCAGGGAGTGGTCATGGGGGTACCCTAAGGAGGTCTGTGGCAGAGGGGGCCGGCTGCTGGGCCCAAGGGTCGCTGTGGGGCTCTCGAGGTGACAGGTCTGGCTGTGTCCTCCCCCAGAGCTGCCCTGTCCAGATCATGGACCCTGAAGTGTCCTTGCTGCTGCAGTGCCCCCCAGGTGGGCTTCGGGAGGAGCAGGTGCGGGCTGAGCTGAGCCCAGACCACGACCGTCGCCCACTGCCAGGAGGGGACGAGGCCATCGCTGCCATCTGGGAGAGCCGGCTACAGGCTCAGCCCTGGCTCTTTGACGCCCCCAAGTTCCGCCTGCACTCAGCCATCTTGGCACCCACTGGCTCACAGGGACCACAACTGCTCCTGCGCCTGGGCCTGACTTCCTACCGAGACTTCCTGGGCACTAACTGGGCCAGCTCGGCTTCCTGGCTGCGACAGCAGGGGGCCGCTGACTGGGGTGACAAGCAAGCCTACCTGGCAGACCCTCTGGGGGTTGGCGCCACACTGACCACTGCAGATAACTTCCTTGTCTTCCTGCGTCGCTCTCGGCAGGTGGCCGAGGCACCTGGGCTGGTGGATGTGCCTGGTGGGCACCCTGAGCCTCAGGTGAGATGCCAGGCTGGGTACAAAGACTCAGCTCAGCTTTGTTTTCCTCATCCCTTAAAGGGGGGGATGGGTGGTGACCTGGTGCTTCTCTGAAAGACTGCCCAGGGCAGCACCTCAGCCTCCCCATTATCCGCTGTTTCAGACCTGTGGGAAGCTCGGGGATGATGGGGGGTGGGGGAGAGGACTAGCTGGATCTCTGGTTGTCCATCTAGAAATGGCGAGCCTGGGACAGGGGATCACCAAGACTCTTACTCTATGCCTAACCAGGCCCTCAGGGCCAGCAAATAATTGGGGGGGAGGCAGGGTGGGAAGAGATGGGGAACAGGGCCTGAGCCTGACCTCTCCCAGGCCGTGTGCCCTGGTGACAGCCCTCTGCACAAGGACCTCCCTGGGGAGCTGGTGGTGCATGAGCTCTTCTCCAGTGTCCTCCAGGAGATCTGTGATGAGGTAAGTGCAGGGTGCCCCAGACAGGTGGGCAAGAAGGGAGGGGGTAGAACATGCCAGAATTCCCCAGGTGTGGGCTGGCAGGAGAGTCTGCAGGCATCTGGCATTGGGAGAAGAGCTTGGCTTTGCAGTCAGGCACAAGTGGAGTGGAATTCTAGCCCTGTATCTGTGTGCCTGAAGCTCTTCCTCTTTAAAATAGGAACAATAGGGGCACTTGGGTGGCTCAGTTGGTTAAGCGTCTGCCTTCAGCTCAGGTCATGATCTTAGGGTCCTGGGATCAAGCCCTGTGTTGGGCTCCCTGCTCATCAGGGAGTCTGCTTCTCCCTCTGTCCCTCCCCCACACTTGGTGCTCTCTCAAATAAATAAAACCTTAAAATTTTTTTTTAAAACCTAAAAAAAAAAAAAAGGAACAATGATAAATGTCTTGCCTACTTCCCTCCCCTCCCCCGTGTGTTGAAAAGAGGAGTAAATGAGAGTCCCAGTTACTACAGACTTCCCTTGGGTGACCCTGGGCAAATTGTTCGGTCTCTTGGGTTCTGCTTTCCCATCTGTAATATGAACATGCCCAAGATCTGACATTTTGTGACTCTGGGCACTTGAACTACGAACCGTAAAATGCTGTACAAGGATAATGTTCTTCATTGAGAGGGGCAGGCATGTGGGCAGTGGGCACTGACAGGTGGACCTCCTGTCCCAGGTGAACGTGCCACTGTCCACCCTGAGCCAGCCACTGCTATTGGGCATTGCCCGCAATGAGACCAGTGCCGGCCGCGCCAGTGCCGAGTTCTACGTCCAGTGAGTGAGCTCTGGGGTACAGGGTCCTGCGTCCTGGGATAGGTGGGTGGATTAGGGGAATGGCTGAGGCAGCTGGGGTTCCCCAAGGACCCTCCAGGGACTGAGCACTCCCCAAGCCACTGTCCTGTCCTTTTGCAGGTGCAGCCTGACTTCCGAGCAGGTGAAGAAGTACTACTTGAGTGGGGGAGCCGAGGCCCACGAGTCTACCAGAATCATTTTTGTGGAGACACAGGTGTGAAGTGGCAAAGTGTGTTTTGCTTGGACAAGGAGCTGGTGTTGGGCTTTGCATAGGCTGGGTGGTGCATGTCTGTCTCCCTGGGGCTGGGTCAGATGGGGCTGCTAAATCTCTTAGAGCTCTCCTCCAGAGCCACAAGGTCTCTTTGGGGATGCCCTCAGTCCAAGAGATGGCCAGGAACCTCTTCAGCCTCCTTAACGTGTCTCCCTAGGGTTGGTGAAGTGCAGAGGGTTCTGAGGCTCAGGAACACTGGGTACAGCTCCCGCAAGAGACCTGAGGGCTGGATGTTGGGGGTCTTACTTTCTCCCCACAGAGGGTATGGAGGTTGCAGGAGACCGAAATGTGGGTTGAGCTCTGCCCCTCGGCTAAAGGCGCTATCTTCCTCTACAACCAAGTCCAGGGAAGTCCCACCTGAGTCGCCCTAGGGCCCTCAACCCTCGCACAACTTGGAAGACAATAAAGGACTTTATTCTTGGATTCCATTGGCATCTGCTGTTTCCGTGAGGCAGAGATGGACCGCTGGGAGAGACCTGGGTGGGTGAGAGACAGGACGAGTGTCTTGGGAAACAACAACAACAACAACAACAAAAACCCAGCCTCAGTTTCCCCTCTGCAAACTGGGATGAGGACCGAGTCCCCTTGCCAGGATGTGGTGAGGGTCCGGGGTGGAAGCTGCTTTATGAAAGATGTCTCGCTGCTGAGTAACAGCCGTGTTCCCGGGACAGAGCGACGGAAGCTGGGTCAAAAGCCTCAGTGAGGGCAGGAAATGTCCCTCCCGCTTCGCGGACGGGCGCGAGGAGTCTTTCCGCAGATCCGCGGGCCTCGACCCTAGTTGGGGGGCCCGAGGCGCCAGAAGCCAATGGGTGTGCGGGGTGTGGCCTTGACGCACTTCCGGACCTTCCGGTTCGGTGGGCGTGGCCTGGGCGTTTAAGCCAATGAGGACGTGGGGGCGGGGCCTGCATAGGCACAGGAGTTTGGCGGCCACGGAATTCGTCAGCGCAGCGGAGGCGGGGCTTGGCGGGCCCCTCCTTCACCACCCCACTCCCCCCCGCCCCAAGCTCCCAGGGTGGGTAGGGGGTCCCGGCGTCTGGGACTGCTTGTCCCCGGACACCGAGACCAGTGTGGGGAAGGGCTCCGGACGCCCCGCGTCAGAGGCAGGGACAGGTCCAGGACACTGGGGTCTGGTCCTGAGTAAAGGAGGCCCCACCGCCCCTGGCTTCCCCAAGGCTGCTTCAGTTTCCCTTCGCAAGTGAACAGAGCCAGACCCTTCCCTTTGGCCCCGGGGTGCTTGAAGTGTGGTCCCATCCTCGTCCCAATGCACAACTCTTTGTGGTCTCCTTTCACCAGCCGCCTGCCTGTCGCCATGCTGTCCCTGTGCCTGTGCCGGTTGTGGCCCCGCAGCGCTCCCATCCGGCTCTTCTCAGCGGCCACCGGGCAGCGGTGAGTCGGGGGCCGGCGGCAGGCCCCCCATCATTCAGTGGGTTTTCGTTGAGGAGGGCCTGCCTAGCTCCAGGCCTGGACCTAGGTACGACAGTTGTGATCTGTCTACTCTGTGTCAAGTGCCTTACAGGCTTGTTGCAGGTAACTCTCCCCTTCACGACTGAGGACACAAGATCAAAGATTAAGGGACGACCCCCAAGATCATACAGCGAGTTAAGTGGCAAAAGTGGAATCTGAGTCCGAGCCAAACTCTGCTCTTTTCAGGACTGTGGTGGTCGTCAGGCATCACTGCGCAACTCACTGGAGGGGTTGGGCTGCGGGGGGTGGCTTACAAAAATGCAAATTCCTGGGCCTTGTTCTGGAGATTCCGATCTGCAGGAATGAACTGGGGCTCAGAAATCTGTTTTTTTTAAACAAGCTTCCTGGGTGTTTCTGCTGCAAGGGGTCTGAGGGCTACACATTGAGATGTTCTGATCCTCACCATACCTGAAATGCTCAAAAAGGGAGGGATGATTTGGAGATGGATCTCCCTTGGCACCAGCCTCAGCTTCCTCACCTCCTTTTTCTTTTTTTCTTTCTCTTTTCCTTCCTTCCTTCCTTCTTTCCTCCCTCCCTCCCTCCCTCCCTCCCACCCTCCCTTCCCTTCCTTCCTTTCTCCTTTTCTTTTCTTTTCTTTTCTTTTCTTTTCTTTTCTTTTCTTTCTTTCCTTTCCCTCCTGGTTTCTGAGTTGAGGAGTGTGGTCCAGGGGGGGCTGGGAGGGGAGGGGAGGAATATCCTCTGTGTTTCCATAGCCTCAGCAGTTTCTGGCCTATCTGCACAGGTCTGGCCCCAGGAACTACTATGAACTGTTAGGGGTGCATCCTGGTGCCAGCACTGAAGAAGTTAAACGAGCTTTCTTCTCCAAGTCCAAAGAGGTACCAGGCGTCCTAGGTTGGGGGGGGGGGTGTCAGTCTGATTCAGATAGGGTACATTTCAGATTTCCAGGAGTGGAGTTGAGTGGCTCACTCTGGATGATGCCACATTCCCTCAGCATGTAGAGAGTGTGAGGTGCCCTGAGGGCAGAGGTCCGGCCAGTTGGGAGGAAAGGTTGGCGGCAGGAGCCAGGGGTTCTGTGTGATGGGCTGGACGTTGTTCTTTTGACCTGCCTGCTCTTGAGAAAGCCTGGACCAGGGCATATAGTGAGAGCCAGGCAGCAGGTGGGGAGGGCTTGAACAAGGGGAAGGGGCAGAAGTCTGTGCTTCCTGACACTCTGGCCTTCTAGAGGGGTGGGCAGCCCTGAGAGGGAGGGTACTGTCCAGGCAGGGCCTCCGGGAATGACTTGAGCCTTTGTGGGTGGTTGTTATTGGGATGGGTTCTGTGAAGGGACATGCAAAAAGAGCTGAAGGGAGTCCTGCCCCACCCCAGCTGCACCCTGACCGGGACCCTGGGAATCCGGCCCTGCACAGCCGCTTTGTGGAGCTGAGTGAAGCATACCGAGTGCTCAGCCGAGAGCCCAGCCGCCGCAGCTATGATCGGCTCTGCTCAGCAACTCCTCCGAAGTCTCCGGGAACCACAGCCCATCCCCGGTCTGCTCATCAAGCACACAGGTATAGCCATCCTGCCCCTGGCTTGCCCCACCCCCCAAGGCTCCTGGGAACCTTCCTTTCTTCTCCCTCCCAGCAGCTCCTGGGAACCCCCCAGTGCACAGTACTGGGCCCAGTTTCATGGTGTGAGGCCTCAGGGACCGGAGTCGAGGCAGCAGCAACACAGACACAACCAGCAAGTGCTGGGGTACTGCCTCCTGATCATGTTGGCGGGCATGGGCCTGCACTACATGGCCTTCAGGTGCATCCCTGCCTTCCCCCCTGGGGTGACGGGCGGAGGGTGCGGGAAGCCCAGTGTGGGCGGCTTACATCCACACCACCTCTGGGGCCTGTACTTTTGTGTCTCTCAAGCTAAGAATGGCATGAAACTGGCCTCCTGAGCGTCATCTTACTTGGCCAAGGCAGCTCTGCACTCACTAAAGGCTAATGTCATTTTCAGGTTTTTTGGCATTTGAATGTAAATCTTTGGTGCTGGAGCCAACCAAGATCATGCACAAGAAGGAAATATGTTGTAACTGGGCCTCACTGGCAACCATCCTCTCTTGTTGGGCAATCAGCTGTCTCCCTGCCACCCTTTTATGCATGCCGTGGATACTGAGGTTCTACAGCAAAGATACCTAAGGGCTGGTGCCCACAGCTAGCAGCTTGCCTAGCTCAGTGATGGAGTTAGATGTATACCCTTTCTAGTCTCCTGCCAGGACGAACACCCTGATGTTCAGAGCTGCTGTCACCACCTTCAGCAGGACAGCCAGGGACCTGGGTCACCAGTGGACCCTGGATAAGCCCCGGCCCTTCTGTGCCCCTCTCCCCACGTAGGACAAGCAGTTAGGAAGAGGTCCTCACAGATGTAAAGCTGTGAGACCCTAGAGTGGCATGGATGGCATGGGATGAATTTGGGGGACCGCAGGGATGGGGGTGAATTGCAACCCCCTTGCAGGAAGCTGGAGCAGATGCACCGGAGCTTCATGGATGAAAAGGATCGGATCATCACAGCCATCTACAATGACACACGGGCCCGGGCCAGGTGTGTCCCTGCTCCGTTCTGCCCTCCCTTCAGTGTCCTGGTACCACCCCCCGGGATCCTCCGTTCTGACCACCCAGGTGCTCTCTCCTGCAGGGCCAACAGAGCCAGGCTCCAGGAGAAACTGCAGAGGCAGCAGCTGCAGCCACCCCCGGGAGGCCCGGGGATCGTGCCGCCGCCGGACACAGGCACCCGCCCCTGAGCGGCTCACTTGGATGGGGGCTACCCCGCGGGACTTCCCACTCCCCAAAACTAGTGCAATAAAGTGCTTTTCAGAGCTCGTGTCCGGCTCCTTGCTTCAGGGCCAGCGGCCCCCTCCCGGGCCTCGCCGGGAGACGGCACCCCGCCCTCCGGGTCCTGGCGGCAGCGACCCGGGAGCCCGGCCCCCTGGGCGGCGCGTCCCCTTCCGTGTGTGTGTGTGTGTGTGTGTGTGT